AGGTCAATCCTTCAGATGTTATAATTTTGGAAGGCATACTCATCTTTCACGATCCACGTGTCCGAGATCTGATGAATATGAAGATATTTGTTGATACAGGTTCTTTCATCTCCTTTCTTTTGACGTTTCTTTATTGTCCTTATGGCCTGAGTTGTGCCGTCTTATTGACTCGTGACCATGATGTACAAGAGAAAGATCAATACAGTGTCCTAGCAGTTATCTCATATATTATTCTTTCTACATGGATATTTTCCCTTCTAAGGTTTCTCCCCTATGGATAAAAAATTTCAATGGTGTTCCCTCTAAAATAAAACCAAATAATAAGGAATAAGTATAAAAATACGGAGCTAGTCCCTTTGTTGGCCTAAAAACCTAATATGATTCTTGAAATAGGACTGCCAGTGATTAGAACACGCTGTAATGCATGAATATCCATCCTATGTAAGAGTCAAGGTCTTCACTGAAACAGATATCATGAAAGACCGAACCACAATTTCGCTCAAACTCTTCTTAAGGAGTGCTTCCACTCAAACTTCTGTAATATTATGGTTTCTTGTGTTTATTTTTTAAAATCTTTTCCTTAGAGCTGTTTTTAGCTCCTTAAGATTGATGCCCTACTTTAGGTCTTGATACATGAGCATATAACCTCTATATGTTGTATCCTTCCATGTCTACTTGGAAATTGCTTCCTGTTGGGTCTTCTACTAGTGTGGTTTCATCATCTTAAGTTTTCAGTGCAGATGCTGATGTACGTCTTGCAAGGAGAATAAGACGTGACACAGCTGAAAAGGGAAGAGATATTGCTACAGTGCTTGATCAGGTTAGGAAAACTTTCAGGCTTATTTGAAATTATTGGTAATCTTTCACCCAATTTGACAGATATTTTGACAAAGCATTTCTTGAGGTTTTTGCTCTTCCAATTTCCAACAATTTCTTTATGACGCAGATCAGTGAGTTGATGACTAAGTTTCTTTCTCACTTCTTCCTTTCTCAAGTCACGTCTGAAACTTCCATTATAAGTTTCTAAAATTGCCTTTTTGCTAATAAGCTCAATAAAAACCAATTTTTCTTAAAGTGACGATACAACTTCCATCTCAACTTAAATTGCCTTCCCAAAACTGACTGTTCAAACTTCCGTTAAGTTTCTAAACTGTTTTGAAATTGAACATTATCTGAAGACTGAAATTTAGCACAATTTTTATGGTTAAGTTTTTGGTTTTCACATTAATTTGATTTAATCTTGATGCAGTACTCTAAGTTTGTGAAACCGGCATTTGATGACTTCATTCTTCCTACAAAGAAGTATGCTGACATTATCATTCCCCGAGGTGGAGACAATCATGTTGCTATCGATTTGATTGTGCAACATCTTCGGACAAAACTTGGTCAACATGATCTCTGTAAAATATATCCTAACTTATATGTCATTCAATCAACTTTCCAGGTACCACTTTTATCTTAAGAATTTAAGATATTATCTTGACCCTTTTTATCCATTTCTCTATTTATCTTGAAGCCGCCTTTTCGTTGTTCAAGATCCATCTCCTATATGCTCCTAAAGATCGGTACTTTTTCATTCAGATACGTGGCATGCATACACTTATACGGGATGCTCAGACAACTAAACATGATTTTGTGTTTTATGCTGATAGATTGATTCGATTGGTAAGTACATTGCTGCACAGTTCATTGCTTGACTGGTTAGCCTATCTTTCTCGGCCCATCAGGGAAAGTCAATCTTTCTTTAGCTTATCAACTAGATTCATCTTCACCTGAACCAGGTCGTTGAACATGGTTTGGGCCATCTTCCATTTACAGAAAAGCAGGTGATCACTCCAACTGGTAAGCTGCTACTGCGATTGGGAAATTCATGGCCTTGTATTTAAAAATCTTATTCATAGGGCTCTGAAGTAGCTTCTTTGAGTACTCCAGTTTAAATAGTTGGGTTACTGACATTAGGCCAAAAGATCAGGCTTGATGGTTATCCTTTTTAGGACAGATGGGATTCTGGATACAACTATGAAATTTGACTCATAATGGCTAGTCGCTTTCGGTTACAATTCAGCCAATCGTTCTTAGTATTTGTTATAAAAAATATTGTTTGAATTGTAACTGAAAGAGACTAGGATTTATGACGCAATACATCTTTGATCTGTATCCGGAAGAGCATCAGCCATATTGTCAGTGCATTACAGCTCATTTATTGTATTGGTCAAGATATGGCACTATTGCTATATTGTTGGACTTTATGTTTTTCTATATACCCAATTGAGTGAGGAACTGCCTCAATGAGCGGAAATAAATTCTTAATTAAATATATTTCTTGTGAGTGCAGGATCTGTATACAGCGGTGTTGATTTTTGTAAGAGGTTATGTGGTGTTTCAGTAATTAGAAGGTAATAATTTGTAATTTGTAATTAGCATTTTCCTTTATTTCTTAGATGGTAGTAACAATTTGTTTTGTACGATATGCTTTTTACCATATGTTGGTGCATGTAGTTTGGGAACTCTTCTCAAATGTATTTCATTGTTTAATCGATTGTCTGGTTGACCATGTCCTCAATGCTATGTTGTTCACTTATTCTATTTGGTGTACTTTTGTTCCAAACTGGGCTGTTTAGTGAAGGGAAATGCAAGGGTCCATGCATGTGCGAGACTCCGATACATATGTTTAAAGCTGTCACATGGAACATCATGGCATCTTGTTAGTGATTAAGACTGAAGATAACAAATGACAGATCGGAAACTTGAGATATTCAAGATGGCAAAGCTTCATTTTGCATTTTTAGGATAAATACTTGTTACGCTGACAGGATCAAGATTTCTGATGCTAAGAGTTAGCGCCTTCGTAAAGGTCTATATTAATGGGGGTTTCATTTTCTTCAAGTGGCAAAAATATACCCCAGAGAAGGCTTGCAGTTTAAATTTGTCTTAAACTTAATGTCAAATTATTGTCATTCACTGGGGATGCTTGCTATTCATCACGAATTAACTGGTTCATAATATTGTGAAATGCGTCCAGGACAATTCCCTAATCATCATCCCATGGTCTGGTTTAACAAGTGTTTGTTTTCTTGTCTTCTCTGCCTTCACCAAAGTGATCGGATTGCTGGATTCTGTTTGTTAACCATAAAATTTTCTAATTATGCACAGTGGGGAGAGCATGGAGAATGCCTTGCGAGCATGTTGTAAAGGTATTAAGATTGGCAAGATCCTTATTCACAGAGAAGGTGACAATGGTCAGCAGGTTAGCAATCTGCAGGGTCCTCCTGAGTCGTTACATCTTTTACGCCCTCCTGAGATATTGGCTTTTGCTCTCTTTTATTTTTATTTATAAAAATAATGTCATTTCCTTAATAATGATGCAGCTGATCTATGAGAAACTGCCACTAGATATTGCAGAAAGACATGTCCTGTTGTTGGATCCGATCCTCGGAACAGGTTAGTCTTTTTAAGAATGCCTGGGATATCAGATAACTGACCACGAGCCCATTAAAACATGGTTGATCTACATGATCAAGAATTTTATGATGATCTCTTTACAAAAGATTGTGTAAGCAAGGACTATTATGTGTCTATATCAACAGGGAATTCAGCAGTTCAAGCTATTTCTTTACTGCTAAAGAAGGGTGTCCCAGAGCCCAACATTTTATTCCTCAATCTCATTTCTGTAAGTTCACTGAATTATCCAGTTAGGATTTGCACCTCTTCGAAGCCACCTTTCGTCAACAATTGACTCTTGTAGTGTTCAATTTGTGGACTACCCTACTGCAACGCTTCTGTGGAATAATAACTGCTGTTATTTTTTTTTAACTAGGCACCCCAAGGAGTGCATGTGGTCTGTAAGCGATTCCCAAGAATAAAGATTGTGACATCTGAGATTGAAATTGGTTTAAATGATGACTTTCGTGTTATTCCTGGGATGGGCGAGTTCGGTGATCGATATTTTGGCACAGACGACGACTGAACCAAAAGTTGTGGCCCTTCCATGCCCCGCAATCACATGAGAGATGTACTTTCAGTTCCAATTCAATTTTCCCTTTTTCTTTTTCTTTTTTGACAATCATTAAAAAGAAGAGAGTCAAGGTGAGCACGACGAACCACTATGTACCGGGTAATGGACATTTTGGAACATTTTTGACTATACAGGCATTATAAATGTGATTTACAGTAATTTTTGCACATCGACACCTAGCTTACTACACATATTAGGCCATTAAACCTAGTGTGGCCTGATCTATCACAAAGTCGACTTAAGGTAACATTTTTCAGGGGTATGGTCTAAACAAGTGTAATTTTTTTTCATAAGGCAAGCTTTTTATTAGTCAATGAACACAGTTTACAAAAAAGGGTGGCCTTATGTATGTATCCCTATGGCGCAACCCTTTTTGCTATCTCTGAATCAGGAGATGCATTAAAGATGGATTTGATATGAAGTACTTGTTGTTGGTGAGGAATTCGTGCAATTTAATATTAATACAAGTGTGTATCGACCCCCTTGCTTGATGAGACTGGAGGGATTTGAGAGGCTACAACATATGGATGATTATTAATGAACAAGCTTCTTATGGAGACTTAATAGCCTATGGTGGAACTTGGAAGCTTCTTCTATATGCATTCGACTTTCACTATTTCCCATCTTCTTCACCTCTTCCGATTTCCTTGTGCTGCAACAAAATTGAAGAATTCAAAATAGAAAGTAAACAGCTTCTTACATATGACAGTGTTTCGAGAGCCCTCGGGGGATAAAGTTGGTCTTTTGGGCTCCGTATCTTAATCTGGAAAGAAACAAAATATTGGAGATGAGGCAGCAGCTTCCCCACAAAAATTTGCCTCACAATAAGGATAGAAGGGCCAGAAAGGCGACGTTTGGCAGTGAGATTATATTGATGTTCACTCATTTCTCTAAACCATGACGATAATCTTTGCTGGGCTAATCTGTTGACACGTGTCATGAAAGGATCATATAGAAATATCCACTCCAAAGTCATCTATATAGATTGGTTCCTAGCTTTTGGGTTCTCGTCCGTTCTCAGTTGGCTTTTTTATCCAAGTATTATCCTTTTAGCACTACTAATCCACAACCATGTCTGCCTTTGTTGGAAAATATGCTGGTAACCCCCTCTCTCACTCTCTCTTACTTTTATTCCATGCCAAAATGTAATTTAAGCAGTATATATACAACTATATATATATAAGAGAGACTAGCCTAGCATATAATTACATATACTATATTAGTTTGCTAGCATGCAAAGCCATACATACGTTATTATCTATAGTTTTCATTGTTTATGCAATTATATATTAAAGAAGATAGGATATTACGTGAATGATTGTCATGCAAGTTTGGTTGTATTCAACATGTAGAATCTAGCTATATTTGTTCAACAATTCATGTACTGTCTCCTTTAGGCGTCCACTTTATAATCCAATCCTCGATATCGAACACTAATGCAACAAACTGTTTTGGTTGCGTTACTCGTAAAAGTGGTTTGGATAATCTACCTGTATAGTTAGGGGAGCTCTTTCGCTCTTCACAGACAGTGTGAGAAAAATAATTTAAAGTTAGAAGTGTGCATCTCCAAAGAGAGCTTGCCTTTCAAGTTTGTAATAGTCTCTTGATTACTTTACTCTAGACTACTAATTGTAAATATTTCCTACTGTAGTAATAGTATATTACTGTTGTTTTTCCTTATTGAGAAGGGATTTCCATATCAAAATCCCAAGCATCCTTGTTTTTCTTTTGAGTTAATTTTATCCATGGTCTTGAACTTTTGTGTTTCTTACCAAAAGTCAATCTTTTTTTTTTGTTACATAAAAATCATTCAACTTTGTGTTTATTACACAAAAGTCATTTTTCTTTCTTTTGTTACACAAAAATCATTTTACTTTGCTCTAGTTATCACAAGTCACATGTACTTGAAAAGTCTATTATGCTCTTGATATTATATAAACCTTCATATTTATGTAATACCTTCTATATTATATACTATATAATATATTTTTAACTATGTAGTTTATTAATAAATAAAATAACTTAATGTTATTTTATTTATTATTTTTATAATATATTCATATATTTAATTTTTGCTTAACGTTAATTTTCAAAATATATTAGTAGCATTATTAAATTTGTCAGTAACTTTAATATANATCCCTAGGTACTACATGCAAAGTTTAGTTGGGGATATTTTCTTGGGGATTTACCTGGGCAATTGGTATTTAGAAAATTACACTACTAGAAATTCGGGAAAAACCGTCCAAAAAATCGACCAAGTTGGCGGTGATGGCCAATAACCGTCCAAAATGCGACCATTAACGTGTGGTCGGTATTTGAAGGTTGGAAGGCATACCGACCAAAGTTGGTCAGAAATTACCGACCAACTTCGGTCGGTCAATTAAATTCAAAAAAAAGAATTGCTGAAAAAAATTATTTTTTAACGCTACTAATATATCGTGAAAATTAAAGTTAAGAAAAAAAATTAAATATACGAATATATTATAAAAATAATAAATAAATACATAGTTAAAATTATATTGTATAGTATATATATACTATAGAAGGTATTACATAAATATGAATGTTTATATAATATCAAGGGCATAATAGACTTTTCAAGTAAAAATGTGACTTTTGTGATAACTAGAGCAAAATAAAATGATTTTTGTGTAACAAAAGAAAGAAAAGTGACTTTTGTGTAATGAACACAAAGTTGAATGATTTTTACGTAACAAAAAAAAGAAAAGTACTTTTGGGTAACAAACACAAAAGTTCAATGACCATGGATAAAATTATCTCTTTTCTTTTTATTCTCATGTATTTTGGCGTTCATTTTTGTTCCTATTAACTATCATGAATATTATTTCTGTGTGCTATATATTTCCTACAATAGTTGATCTCACATTAATTATGATATGCAGAGGAACTTATCAAGAACGCCAAGTACATAGCAATACCAGGGAAGGGTATTTTGGCAGCTGATGAAAGTACCGGCACTATTGGAAAACGTTTAGCTAGCATTAACGTTGAGAACATTGAGTCCAATCGTCAAGCTCTTCGTGAACTTCTCTTCACCTCTCCCAATGCTCTCACTTACCTCTCTGGTGTCATCCTCTTTGAGGAAACCCTTTACCAAAATACTTCGGATGGCAAGCCTTTTGTCGAAGTTCTCCAAGAAAATAATGTTGTTCCCGGCATAAAGGTGGACAAGGGCACAGTGGAATTAGCAGGAACCAATGGTGAGACTACAACTCAAGGTTTTGACTCTTTGGGCGCACGTTGCGCACAGTACTACAAAGCAGGTATGTGCTGAATTCTGTAATCATATCATTTTAAAGTTTAAGCTATTACTAAAACCACACTTTTAGTTATACTACATCTCAACATACCCCTCATGAGTGTTGCCGTGATTCCTTTTTCATGAGCCAAACACGTGGAACTATTTTTTGAGACCTCTTGTCTGCTCTGATATCAGTTTTAATGATTTAATTATATTATGTCTCAACAAGGTGCTCGATTTGCCAAGTGGAGAGCTGTGCTGAAAATTGGACCCACCGAGCCTTCTGAGTTGTCCATCCAGCAGAATGCTCAGGGACTAGCTCGTTATGCTATCATTTGCCAAGAGAATGGACTTGTGCCAATTGTTGAGCCAGAGATCCTCACTGATGGAAACCATGACATCAAGAAATGTGCTGCTGCTACTGAAACTGTTCTTGCAGCTGTTTACAAGGCTCTCAATGACCACCATGTTCTTCTTGAAGGAACTCTCTTGAAGCCCAACATGGTCACTCCTGGCTCTGATAGCCCAAAGGTAAGCATTTCTACTGTGCTAGCTTGCATTAATGTTGCATGTCAAATATATGTGTTTAGTATCTTGGGTGGTTATCCAGCTTTAGTAAGGAAAAATAACTCAAGTATGTCGATACTCTATATATTACAAAATATAAAAAATGTTAAAAAAAAGGATTTAAATCAGGTTTCAGAAACACAACTATCCTATCACTTATTCAATTTAGTCGGTTACCTCACAATTACATGATATCCTTGTGATGGCATTAAAAAAAGTTTTAAAATTTATTTTCGGACTCATCTGGAAGGGGAGCCTTGGCTTAACTGGTAAAGTTGCTGCCATGTGACCAGGAGCTTACGGGTTCGAGCCATGGAAACAGCCTCTTGCAGAAATGCAGGGTAAGGCTGCATACAATATACCCTTGTGGTACGGCCCTTCCCAGGACCCCGCACATAGCGGGAGCTTAGTGCACCGTACTGCTCTTTTTTTATCCGGACTCATCTAGCTAATACCTCTGTCACCTTGTGGCAGATCACGAGTTTTTATTTTTATCTTTTAAAGTGGTTCGGAAAATGAGTTTTTTCTTTTTGTGTGTTTAAATGGTATCATGATATCATGTAAAATTAGCTGATGACATGACTATGCCTACATTGTATTATGCATGTAACACAGTAACAGGCTTCGAAACAGATTTAACATCTTTCAGCATTTTCATTTTCTGTGATATGTAGACGTAGTTGAGTTGTTAAAGTTGGACGACCATATGTACAATCAATCCGAATAAATTGACAGTATAATATACCCTTGTTACTTGTCTTAGGTTGCAGCAGAGGTAATAGCAGAATACACAGTTACAGCGCTGCGCCGGACAGTGCCACCAGCAGTGCCAGGGATAGTGTTCTTGTCAGGAGGACAGAGTGAGGAAGAGGCAACAGTGAATCTAAATGCAATGAACAAATTGGAAGTGCTGAAGCCCTGGACACTGTCATTTTCCTTTGGTCGAGCTCTGCAGCAAAGTACACTTAAGACTTGGGCTGGAAAACAGGAAAATGTTGGCAAAGCCCAACAGGCATTTTTGGCAAGGTGCAAGGCCAATTCAGATGCCACTCTTGGAAAGTACACTGGTGGAAGTGCCACTGGAGCTGCTTCTGAGAGTCTCTTTGTTTCTGGCTACAAATATTAGGGGCAAATTGCAGTTGATAACAGCCTATACTATTTTCTTATGTGTTAAATTAGTAACTTCTTTGTGTCCTTTTAATTCAGACATCTTTGGAAGGCACTCTGTAAATTTCTTTTCAAAGTTTATATTCACTTAACAGAAAAATAAAGTAAAAAAGCTATATATTTCACTGATCTCTCATTTTGTGGTTATAGTTGTTTCATGTTTATTTGATACACACATTGTGAAGTTTGTAAGTAAATGCACGCATGAGAATTTAAAAAATGACGCTGTTTTAAGAGTAACTATTTTTGCTATATAAGGAGGATATTATACATTTATACTTGTGACTCAATAAGCCCAGAAAGTTCACTATTGATCAGGCAAATTAGTTTTCTGAATTTCCAGGAAGCTACAGTATATTAGAGGATTTTTCAGTGAATAATACCTTGTAGGGAAGCTTCAGCAAGAAGAATATATTGCAAGATTTTTGTATAAAGAAAAATTGTAATTATTCAATGCATGTTAAAAACTAAGCCCATATAGAAAAGAATTTCATTTCACTAAACTAAAAATAAGTATTCTCCAATTATAATCGAGATTCAGTAAAAATGCTTGATGTTGGTGCTTTGGGAATAAATGGATGAGAATTTGGGGGTAGATTCCATAAGGAGCCGAGACCTGTTGAGTTGGAACTTTAAAATATTTCTAATGAGTTCAAGTTCTACGCACTAATGGTGTAAAAATATCTACACAACTATAGATCACTCATTAGGTTATTGTCAGTAAATCTCTTGAAAGCATTAACTGATAATCTAGTAAAAATAATAACTAAACTACTACCACATGTTAAAATTTATTGACAGCGTAAATAAATATATTTTACTTAAATCCATATATCTTATTAGGATGCAGCTGCAGGTATTGGAGGGAATGATGGGGTGACAAACTTTAATGTGAAATCCTACCACCGAGGAGTTTGAAGGTAAGAGCTTGGTTAAAAGCCACAGGATGATTTATGATTTGTTGCAATATGAGTTACAGGATGGACTTCATGCATTATCATTTTATGTAACTCTTTTGCTCTTGTGGATGTGGTCCTCTCTCAATCATAGGATTCAGATAATTTAGTTGTGGAATTTTTTTCCCCTTAGATAATTAGTTTCAAGACGCGACCTACATGTACCTGAATGGCTGAATGTAGAGTTCAATTGATTATGACATATATCCGAGGAGAAGGTACGTATAATTCCACACATATATTCAAGTTATTCTTCCTTCAGTAGTGTATACAGATAAAATCGGTCTCGTAGTACATCCCGGTCTCCGACATGATAGGACAAGCTAAAGATACGGTAACGGGGGGCCTAGACCGAGGTACAGATCTCACCAATTCGGAGTCTGGACCATTACACCCACCCTCAAGGATATTAGGGTCGTGATTCGGGATCGTTTCTAGTCTTGATTAACTTCGAGGAACATTGTCAGGAGGTCGAGCACGGCCAATAGAAGACCGTGATATCTGTGACCGATCGAATATCACGGCGGGGATCTCGGCACGTACCGAGAAGAAATTGGCAATCAGTTAATTAGGAGATTTTTACCTTTTATAAAATTGTACCAAATGTAGGATTCCCCTACTATATAAAAGGGGTCTGATTTTTGTAAAAGACAAGGTAACTCGCACTTCAAGGCAATATATTATTATTTCCTATGCTATTAGCTATCTTTCTTGTTCATTATTGCTGATCGTAGTGCGCTCGGATCGAGTTCAATTATTTCACTGAGATTGGAACTATCTCACTCGTGTGGTTTGAATTATTTCTGTCTTTCTTTATTTGTAATTTAATTCATCAATTGTTTTGTGTCGAATTTTACTACGTATCCTTAAAACCAACTTACAAATTTAATTGTTATCCGATTTTGAGGGTAAACAGTTTGGCGCCCACCGTGGGGCTAAGGATAATAGTGGCTATTTGATACAAACTTCTATAACACACCCTATTTTACACTTGTTCTTTGAAGTGTCTCTGATTTCAGGCCAAAATCTAAAATGTCGTATTCCCAGTCAGCCCCTCTAGACGTAGACGCTGAATCCGGCCACCATGGCAAAAATGACAACGTGGCACCCGGAAACGAGGTGCCCCCAGCCGACCTCGGCGGAGTCCCGGTCGCAGACCCGATCGACGTTAGCTTGCATGTGGCCATCAATACAAATTTGCCCACCGATCCAAATAACAACATCCGCAGAGATGTCCGATCGGTTGCACAAAGCACGCACAATGGCGAAGATAGTGGGATCAAATTGCGGGTAATCTTCAAAATGTTACAGGCTTAACAGGCAGCGATAGCCCAACTCCATAACCAGAGCCGTGCTCCGAGCAGGATTGAGCCCTAACCATCCTGGGAAGACGTCCACAGAAATGAACCGACCCCAGAGAGACCGAATGAAAAGGAGTCGGGGACCAACCCCGAGACCATGAAGATGCTCGAAGAACTAACGAAACGGATAGAATCGGGGGAGAAGAGAATCGAAGCAAATGACAAGAAGGTGGAAACCTACAATTCCAGGGTTAATCAAATCCTAGGAGCACTACCGATATTGAAAGGCCCGGACTCCAAGAAGTTTGTTCAGAAACCTTTTCCTCTAAGTGCCGCTCCAAAGCCAATTCCTAAGAAGTTCCGCATGCCCGAGATTTCTAAGTACAACGGTATGACCGATCCAAACGGGCACGTGACTTCCTACACATGTGCCATCAAAGGGAATGATTTGGAAGATGATGAGATCGAGTCTATCCCGCTGAAAAAGTTCGGGGAAACTCTATCCAAGGGAGCCATGATATGGTACCATAACCTATCTCCTAATTCTATTGACTCATTTGCTATGCTTGCAGATTCCTTCTTAAAAGCACATGCCGGAGCTATCAAGGTCGAGACCAGGAAGTCAGACCTCTTCAAAGTAAAACAGAGGGATAATGAAATGCTCAGAGAGTTTGTGTCCCGATTTTAAATGGAGAGAATGGACTTACCCACCGATTCCGGACGATTGGGCCATTCAAGATTTCACCCAGGGACTCAATGTTCGAAGCTCGGTGGCTTCACAGCAGTTAAAACAAAATCTGATAGAATATCCGGCTGTTACTTGGGCCAACGTGCATAACCGGTATCAATCAAAACTCAAAGTCGAACATGATCAACTTGGGGCCCCTTCGAGGTACATTTATCCCGTCAGAGCCGTCGATAGAGCCAAGAGAACATTGATCGTGAACCGAGATCAAGCAAGGATCGTTATCAACCATACAATGGGAATTGAAGAGGTAATGGATCCGGGAGAAACCTCATAAGAAGTGAAAGGAGAAGTGATCGAGGTCACAGTAACTGAGGACTCATGAGCAAGAACGGTTTCGACTGGCCTATCAGCTTAAGGAAGCACTGAGGTTATCAGAATCCAACTTTAACGTCGATGCTGCCACCATTGTATCATCTATCAGACGCATCGAGGATACCAAATGGCCTCGACCTCTACAATCCGATCCAGCCCAAATCCTAACCAGATGTGCAAATATCATGGCACTCACGGCCACAGAACAGAGTTAAGAGAGGAATTAGCCTGGTTATTCAACGACGGGCATCTTCGAGAATTCCTGAGCGACCGAGCCAAGAATCATTTCAGGAATAGGCATTCTAATAAACAAACCAAACAAGAAGAACCTCAACACGTCATCAATATGATCATAGATGGGTCGATGTCCCTCAGGGGCCGATGTTGAAGCGCACCAAAGTATCCATCACGAGGGGAAAACGGACTCGAGATTACATACCGGAAGGAACCTTGTCTTTCAACAACGAGGACGCGGAAGAGATTGTACATCCCCACAATGATGCACTGGTAATATCTGTACTCATAAATAAATCTCGAGTTAAGCATGTGTTAATTTATCTAGGTAGCTCGGCCAACATCATCCGATCGAGGGTCGTAGAGCAGTTCGGTCTACAAGATCAAATCGTGCCTGCAGTCCAAGTTCTAAACGGATTCAAAATGTCATGTGAAACCACTAAGGGGGAGATAACATTATCGGTGAATGCCGCGGGGACCATCCAGGAAGCCAAGTTTTATGTGATCGAAGGAGATATGAGGTACAACGCTCTATTCGGGAGGCCATGGATCTACAATGCCCTCGACTCTGCACCAAGTGTTAAAATTCCCAACACCGGGAGGGATAAAACAATCTACAGAGAACAGCCAGCCGCAAAGGAAATGTTTGCGGTCGAAGAGGCGATTTCGATATCCGTACTTGCAACGACAAAGGGGCCAAGTTTGGTCACAAAGCAAGAAGCTAATAACAATTAACGACACCGGCCCGACCCAACCGGAGAAGCAGGGGGCTGATGAAGACGGTGATTACTGGGTTCCCAGGTCTTTTATAGCCCCTGATGATTCTGACGCCACTAAATCGACGGACGAGGAGCTGGAACACGTCATATTGATCGAGCATCTACCCGATAAAAAGGTATACCTGGGCACGAGGTTAAGCCCCAAGCTCAGGAAAAAACTCATTCAATTTCTTATTGCTAACATAGATTGTTTTGCTTGGTCCCACCTTGATATGACAAGGATCCCGCTAGAAATAACCACTCACAAGCTGAGCCCGGACTCGAATTTTCGTCCGGTCAAACAGGAAAGGAGGCCTCAATCTAAAGTCAAGCATGCATTCATCAAGGACGAGGTATCTAAACTCCTTAAAATAGGGTCCATTCGGGAGGTTACATACCCGGATTGGTTAGCAAACATAGTGTTAGTCCCCAAGAAGGGGAATAAATTAAGAATGTGTGTGGACTATAAAGATTTGAATAAGGCATGCCCCAAGGACTCTTTCCCTCTTCCCAATATCGATTGCATATCGATGTGACGGACGGCCACGAGATCCCCAGTTTTCTCGATGCCTATTCGGGGTAAAACCAAATTCGGATGGACCCGGATGATCAGGAAAAGACATCCTTCATCACTAAGTACGGTACCTACTGCTATAGCGAATGCCATTCAGACTAAAAAATACTGGTGTCACTTATCAACGCAAAGTAAATCGTATGTTTGAAGAAAAAATAGGAAAGTCAATGGAGGTTTACGTTGATGACATATTAGTTAAGTCCCTGCAAGCAGAGGACCATTTGAAACATTTGCAGGAAACCTTCAACATATT